GAGCCCCTGCAAGCCCAGGGCTGCAGCAATGCCCACACAGAGCACCCCAGGATCTCCCCATTGCACCCCACAGTATCAGGGGACACAGTGGGGACCAGAGCATCCCTGGGGACCCCTCTGCCAGGCAGGCCTCAGTGCAGGCTGCTATGGGGAGGAGGAGGGGGCAGGGACACCGGCAGTGGCCCCCCCAGGGGGGCAGGCCCTGTCACTGGTGCTTCTTGCCCCGGTGCAGGGGGGTGGGAGTGGTGGGCAGGAAGAAGGCTGGGGAGCGCAGGCAGTGCAGGGCCAGGAGCTGGGGGCCCAGCGCGTAGAGGACGTTGGTGAGGATGAAGCCCCACCAGACGTCTTCGGGGGTCTGGTAGGGGAAGGGGGTCCGGGTGTGCAGTGAGGAGCCCACGTGGGAGAACTGAGCCTGGGGACACAGTGACATGGGGAGAATCAGCACCCTGGGGCCGGCCCGGTGCAGCCCTCCCGGCACCAAAGAATATTTCGCAGAAGCACACTCCGCATGTCCTATCTATAGCCCCGCAGGCTCGCTCTAGCCTATTTCTGGCTAACGAATCCCTGGCTCCATTATGATCCACCACAGTCAAATTAATTATCAGGCCGCGGCGGTGGGAACTGCTCCACATGCAGTGCAGATCTGTTCCCCCACCAAGGCTCAGACCTAGCTCCTCGCTTGTTTTCTCCTGGTTGGGACCAAAACCCAGCCCAGGGGTCTTAATGTGTGTGTCCCCCCCAAGCCTGGGGCAGCCCTCACCTGTGCCACGGCACCAGCAAACACGAGGCTCCAGTCAGGCAGCCAGGAGCAGCCAGGCAGCACCAGTGCATAGATGCAGAGGCAGAAGAAGGGGAGGACGTAGAACAGGTAAATCAGCATCTGGGGGGAACATGGAGAGAGTCACCCCAACCCCAGGGCCACGGGGTGGGTCCAGCCCCATCTCAGCCCCACTCACCTGCACTTTGGGGTAGGCGACGGGGTCGCGCAGGTACGGCTCGTGCTGGTAGATGTACTCGAAGCACGAATCAGCTGGACAGTCCAAAACCACCTGGGGATGCCAAGAGTGGAGGGGATGTGGACGTGAGGCAGACGGACCCCAGTCGGGACCCTCACAGCCCTTTTGGGACCCCCAAGTGGGGACTCAGTGCTCACCATCCCCCTGAAGAAGGTGAAGGCAGCGGTGAGGAGCAGGACTAGGACCAGAGCTGCGTCCTGGGGCCGCTGGTACAGGTGCTTGCGTTGCTCCTCCATAACCTGGGAGAGGGAAAACGCCACATTTTCAGCTTCATATTTTTGGCTCCACATTTTGGGGTCTGGCCCTGGGATGGGGACAACGCTGATGGCTCCAGGGGCAGCTCGAGCCCCTGCTCACCTTTTCAGGGCTGAGACATGGCAGTGCCTTGGGCTGCTGGAAGAGCCTGACGCCGGTCCAGACGGGAATGAGGATGTAGGGCAGGTTGAGGAGGAAGGCAGGGCTGAGGTCAGAGCTGAATTTCCCTGGGGAAGGAGAGCATAGGGTAGGAGCATCCAGGACTGGTACCCATCACATCCCCAGGGCAGTAATTTCCTCCTCTGCCCCTGGGAGCAACCCCCTGGGATGTTGGGAGGATGGAGGCAGCCTGGGGGGGCAGCAGGGGCTGAGCCCTCCCTGTATCCCTGTACCTATCAGGTTCCCAAGGAGGAAGACGATGATGCTCATCATTAGGGAGCCCAGCCAGAAGAGACCCAGGTTCCTGTAGCTCTTCCTGCAGAGACACCAGGATCAGAGGTCCCAGCCAGGCTCGGAGCTGCCCTCCCCACAAAATGTGGGACCCTCCCAGCCCCAGGAGCCCCTTGGAGCTCACCTCTGGCCAATGGCGGCGATCATGGCGAGGTAGAGCCCGTAGTGGACTATGCCGTCCCAGTAACAGATCATGATACCGTGTGCCGTGCGCAGGTAGGGCTCGCCCTGCCCGTTGGGAAGACGGCGATCACGCGGGGTGGGGGCAAGCGACTTCCCACACCCCCTCCCCACGAGACCCCATGGGAGCTGAGGATGCTCCCTGCATGGTCCCTCTGCATCTGGAGCAGCAGCCATGGTACCTCTCTGACGTAGACCTCCACGAAGCCCGAAATGAAGCCATCCTCCTCCAACGAGATGATCAAATCGACGACGGAGGTGAAGGAGAACACCACGAACACTGTAGAAGGGTGAGATGGCTCTGTGCACGCCCCGTGGGTCACCCCAAATCCCAAACCTCCACTCCCAGCATGGGATCAGCCCCCACACCCCGGTGGGGGGGACTCACCGCAGAAAAGGGGGTCCTGGAAGTGGTTCCCTCCACTTACGATGAAGATGATGGAGATGAGGGTGGCGAGCACCAGCAGCCCTGTCAGCATCAGCACCACTGGGCTGCTGCAGAATGGGGGCACAGGTTCAAGCACCCGGGCACAGCTGGAGGGTGACGCCCCATCCCCTCAAGCCCTGGTGAGACACCCTTTGACCCTGCCGATTTTGGGAGGTGCCCAATGAACAGTGGAGAGCAGTAGGATCAGACCCTTCCCCTCGGTGGGGTCCCACAGTGGCACAGGGTGCTGCTCCCTTTGGAGAGGGGAACACAGCTTCTCCAGGGTCTGAAATGACCCCAAAGACTGGGTCTGGCACCCCAGGAACAGGGACAGGGGAGCACAGGACCCCACACCCAGTGTCACAGCAGCACTGAGTGAGGCTGAGCCCTGAGCATCCCAACCAACACAGATACTCCTCAAAAAAACTCAAAATAATACCCTCCAAACAATCAAACCATTGAAGTGTCACCGCCTAAGTGCATTGTTACTGGTGTATAATTAATGACTACACAACTAATTACTCCCACGGAATGATTAATTCAAAATTCAAATACAGATGCTGTGGTGCAGAGCGTGACACCGGGCACCTACGGTCACTGTATGATGCCGGGGCAGGGTGACACCAGCCGGGGAGGTGCCGAGCAGTAAAACCAACAGCGGGGCCGTTATCAGTGACGGTGATGATGATGGGTGGCATCGGCCACACTGGGACACACCAGCAGCTGTGTTACCAAGGGGGTCACTCTGTGATAGGGAACTGGAGCTTGGAGGGATCCCCCCGTGTCTGGGGAGGCACTGCCGGGTCTGGAGGGGACACCCCATGTTGGGGGTCCTGTCCCGCTGGCTGGGGGGGCTGTACTGGGGTCAAGGGGCTTGAGGGGATGCTTGTAAATCAGGGAGGTTCTGAGCATCCCAATCTGCAGAGATTTGGGCTGTCAGGGAGTCCCGTGAGGCTCTGAGTTGTGTCATGAGGCCAAGCAGCGTAGCTGTGCCTCTGCTCACTGAGAACGGGATTTAAAAGTCCTAAAGGGGCCATGAACCACAGTGCAGGCCTGCAGCAGCCTTTCCATGGGCCAGCAGCCCCTGCACCAAGCCCCTTGCCCTGGGCCGGACCCCCTCCACTCTCCCCAGCTCCAGGAAGGGCCCAGGAACCCTGCCTGGGACACTGCTCCCCCCTCTCCTGCTCCCAGTGGGACCCGGTGGCCCATCCCGAGTGGGATGGCTCCCACCATCCTCCTTCTGGGTCACTCCAGATGCTCCCACCCAGTTCCAGACTGGACCCAGGACCCAGCACCCAGCTCTGAACTGGACCCCAGCCCCAGAGCTTCGCCTCGGACCCACACTCACTCTGCCACGGTGGTCGCGCCGTTGATGCCAAAGGCCACGGGGATGGCGAGGAGCGAAGGGGCGAGTGCGCCCTGCACGGTGGGGAGCTGCATTCCCAGCACGGCCACCATCGCCGTGGACGCCTGCGGACTTCGGCCCCGCTGCCAGCAAACAGGCAGCGCCCTTAAAGAGCCAGAGCCACCCAGGGGAAGGCCCAGGGGTCCCAGGAGTACAGCCAGGGGGCCCCGGGGGTAGACAGGCAGCAGCTGAACACGTGTGTCCATACCCATCTCTGCGCTCAAGAACTGCCTCAAGAAACGGCGCTAAGGACTGCGGGGGAAGGATAAAACCACTCTAGAAGAGGCTCTGAAAACTCGAGGAATGTTTGGAGGTTGTTTTTTACCAATTCATTCTGTAAATCTTAGGTATTAAAGGAGCTAAGAGGATGCACCTCTTCAGATCTGTGAGCGTGAGAGAGAAGGAGCAAGCACGTGAAAGCCAGCGCTTCATCCCTGCCTTTAATAATGCATTGAATCGAGCAGAGCGCAGGGGTTTCAAGGTCTCTGCATCCAGCTGGGAGCCCAGTGCTGCCCTGACCTCCTCCTCTCACGCTTTCTGCTCCGAAACACCAGCATTTACTTCTCCACCGGCCCATGGAGAGACCCAGCTCAGTGGTCCAAAACCAGACACACACTTAGAAACTTCCATGGTGCTTAACAGAGCCCGAAAGTGGCTGCTCAACTTTTCCCCTTGCACCCCGAGCCTCCCAAACGTGTCACCATGGCCCCCTTTTGCCCTCTTGCTTCAGAGTCCGAGGGCCGAATCGGCCGCCCTGCACTTTGCCCCGGGCTCGTTCAAAAGTGGCTGCTCAACTTTTCCCCTTGCACCCTGAGCCTCCCAAACGTGTCACCATGGCCCTCTTTTGCCCTCTTGCTTCAGAGTCCGGGGGCCGAATCGGCTGCCCTGCACTTTGCCCCGGGCTCGTTCGTGGTTTCTCCATATGGGAATAACTCTGAATGCACCCCATGTGCTTCGTCAGTGACCAGGTCACCAGCAGGCTCATCTCTAACGAGGAAAGGCTCATTAAGAGGTGCTCGTTCAGCCTACAGCGAAGAAAAGGCACCCGAGAGCAAGCAAGGTTCAGTCCATGGGGCTAGGGAACGAGACATGGCTGACAGCAGCACGACACCCCATAAAAAACAAAAATGAGGGGGTGAAACAAGGCAATTTGGGATGACTTGAAGCAGTCACCTTCAAATCTTCCTGACTACCGACCCCTCTGAAGCATCGCTTCAGTCTCCTGGTTCTTGCAGCAGCACTTGGGGCAAACTTGCTGAAATTCGGGTGATTTGTGACAGTGCTCAGCCCCCGGTGCGTTCACAGCAGCCGGGCAGGCGACACAGCGGGCACTGGGAATTCACTCTCTGATCTAAAAGAGCCCAATTCTGGTGACCTTCTGGGCCTGTCACAGCAGCCGCCCGTTTGATTCGGTTTCTGAAGAATAAACCCCCTCTTTGCAGCTAATGACAGCACCGAGAAGGACTGCGCTAAGTGGCTCACAGGGCTTCTGCAAAACTGACCCCAGGGCACGGGGAACTGTGCGTGACTTACAACAACATGAGAAAGATAAAAATAACAGAGCAAAGCACCTAGTGATGGGCAGTTTTATCAAGAGAAGGGGTTCAGCGAGACCAAGGCTGCTGGGCAGAAGTAAAGGGATGAAACATGGACTAAGTAAGCGGCGATTGCTGCAGCTACCTCTCAGGCCACGCAGCAACCAGGTATTACGTATATTTGGAATAAAAAAAACCAACTCAAAGTGTCTCAGTTCTCCAACAGCCTCTCTGCGAGTCCTTGGTTTTACAGAAAACCCATGCAGTGATGCTGCAGTCTCTGGTAATCCAGGAAAACCAGCAGCACCACGAGAGGGAGAAACTGAAGGGATGAGAGTCCCAACTTACCAGGAAAGCACAGTAGTCACAGTGACCTTCACCACTTGAGCACAAGCTTGGTCCTACTGATGACCCACCAGTTTTCTTATCTTTATTTCCCAATTTTCCATGATTTCCCATCCCAAGCACAACGTCCCCATGCAGCCGCACACCACGCGTTCCCCGGGAGCAAACCCAGCTCCGTGCCTCTGCAAGGTGCTCGCACAGTTTGATTTTTCCCAGAATGAACCCTCCTGAAGTTACAGTTTCAAATGTTTTTATTGAAAGCCAAGTCCTTGGCTCTACATTGTTAAGAAAAGTTAACAAAAGAGAATCACATGCCAGGTATTCGACTGAGGGGAATCAAATGCCAAAGAAACCAAACCAACCAACTTCACTGTGTGTTCTCTAAGATGCTTGGAAGGAAAGAGAGTTAGAGCGGTCTCTCAGCCCACGAAAATCACATTAAGACCACTCTTTCTAAAAATGCAGTGATTAAAACAAAGGAACAAATGAGTTTTATTTTATTTACAGGCTGAATGACAAAAAATGGTGTTCGTAGAGGGGTTTCTTTTGATGTCAAAGGCCATTTTGTTAAGCTGTGTTTGGAGGCTTGGTTCTTCAACATCCCCACCCACAAAGTGTGAGGAAGTCTCTGGGTTTGCTGGGATCTGGGGGTGAATTTAGTGTTCCCAAGAGGCTGACGCCTCTGAAGTTGGGTGAGCTGACCCTGCGCCCCTCAGCGTCCCCCACCGATCCATGCCTCTTTATCCCCAGGGCAGAGTAAACCAAGGAGGCAGTGGTTGTGCAATGTCAGCTGAAGGTCACACTGCATTTCTGGCTTCCTGACAGCATCACAGCCAAGCTCTTCAGGGGACAACAGCCTGACTGCACAATAGCTGCAAAAATTGGGAGACGGGCCCTTGTATTTGCAATTCAAATAAAAACAGACCAAAAAAAACCAACCCAGAGCAGCACAAGCTGCACATTGGAACAACAGAGGAGCTGCCGTTAGGCTAAAAATGCATTTGTTGTAACGTGGCTCTGAGCTAAACACGGATGGGGTCCCTGAACTATTTCTATTGGTATCTTTGGTGCTGCCCTTCCACTGGTGCTGGGCACCAGGTAACAATCTCCGGTCTCACCGAACGCCACCCAGGCCTCATCAGGACGCGGTAGGGCTCGTAGGCTGTTCTGGGTGCAAGATGGGTCTGTGACTTCGAGAAGTTTTACAATATTAGCAAAGAAGAGAATGATAATGCAGTTTCATAACATTTCACAGTAAAGTTACAACTGTTTTGAAAATACGTTGTCCCAAAAACATTCTCAGTAGTAAGGTCGTCTTGGATTGTTCTGTGGGGAATAATGAGAGAAATGTAATCAAAATTGCTGTCTTCACGCAACAACGAACATCTGAGCCTAATTATCTGAAAAGGCCACTCAAACACGACATTTCTGACTGCGAAACCTGAGGTTTCCCATCAAAAATGACAAATGTGGCTTTCTAGGCGCTGTGGCAAGCTGAATGGGACACAGGCAAATGCAAATTTACAAGCCAGGAAAACTATTATTCAAAATAAACCGCAGATTCGCAGACAACCCATCCGCTTCCTTTGTGTGCAGAGTTTATATTTTTCATGTACCGGATAAAATTAAAAACAGGGGCTTTTGTATTAAAAAAATATCATAGCAAGGAAAACTGCGCATCCACAGATGTTTTGGTGGCGATAATTTGATTTAACATAAGAAGAGAATCAAAGAGATACTTTCAAAGCGGTTGCTCTCTTGATTAAGCACTGGAAACGCTCCCACCCTGATGGGATATACACAGGAGCCAGAATGGATTTGTCACTGTGTCTGCAATGGCCTCAGGACCTCCTTACCAAGGGGTTTGGTCGGAAGCGGTAGGCGAGCATCATCCGCTTGCGAAATGCTTCATACTCATCATCCTCCTTGGTCAGCTCGGCAGGACGGTCGATGCCAAAACCAGCCCCGTCCACAGCAGTGGTTCCCCTGTTGGGAAAGAGGGAAGGAAGGCTCAGGGGTAAGCAGATGTGATGGATCGCCTTTCTCCTCACCAAAAATACTCAGACTGCTGGGCACCATCACGCAGAGCATGCTGCATCGAGACAGACAGTTCAAATGGAGCAGCTTATTGCATTTGCCACGTTTTTACATCGCCCTTCCAAATCAATGACGCCTGCTGTTGTTGGAAGGAGGCAGTGGCGTCGGTGTGTGTTTGCTTAACCTTTTACAGCCGGGACAGAAACACT